TAACAGTGGGCTTTCATTTTAAATAAACAATTGGTAATGTATACCTGAGTTTGGCTTCAAACGATCCTCTCAAGGAATCTAATTTTACACTAATAGCTTCTTGTAATCTATTCCCAGTCGGATAATCAATATCATTAACAAATTAAGGTGATACAACGTAATGCCTCAACGTAGATAATATTCTGTATTATTTTGCGCCCTCAGTCTCACTTGCATGGGAATATTTTTTGTCAGATGCAAGTTTCGTGTTTCGAATGGAAACCATTTTCTTTGATAATATTATTTTTCAATTGTTAAGCTTTCCCATGAAGTGTGCTTATTAGTAAATGTCCTGTACATTTAAACAATACTATATTTTGTAATATTCTTTCCTCGAACATTTCATTCCTTCAGTATTCTGTAAGAGTCACTTTTCATTGATTTTTATACTTTCCTCAACTACTTGATCAAAAATACGTTACAGATAATTTTCACAGATTCACATTATTATTAGTATTACTACTATTGTTATCATAGTATTATGTATCATTCATAATAGTATGATAATAATATGTTTGCACTACCACCCTTTCATCCTCTAACATAATTTTCCTCACACGTTCTTCATTAATAAATGGTGTCACATTTCTGAAGGTTTCACATGGAATAATACTGTACATAAGCTTTTAATTTCAAATTACTTGTTAATATACACTTTTCAATTTATTATTTATTATTGACTAACCCTGTAACGCGTAATGTTTTGGAAGGAAACATACGTACTGCCTTGATAATCCATCGTGTATTAATATTCTCTCGCACATTTCTTTTTCAGAGCTACACTTCCCCTTGGAGAGTCATCGAATGACTGCGAATTGCACTGTCCGTATTACAATATGTCAGGTAAGAAACCAGTCACATTACCAGGCCCCGCACTAGAATGTGTAAAGATAGCACACTTCATTCAAGACTTCCATATCAAATAATGGCGTTGTACATATTGGTCGAACAACATTTGTTACTTAGACAACCTCTTTAAACTATAACAGAACATATTGTACCACATGAACTGTTACATTCACAACTTGAATGATGTGGAGGTTCTGAAAGGTTTGAGCAAACTGTGGCTGTAGTATAAATAGTAGGTTCGGTGCATAGGATCTCAAGCAAGCCCCAGGCGTCACAGCTCTGTGGACGAGTTGTATGGTCTGGTGAGCAGTACACAATCTTTAACTGCTGCCAATGGACAACGTCAACGATCTCTTTCGGACAGTGGTCCTAGAGATGAATCCCCACAGTCTAATGGTAGGAGCACGCTAATTCTCGAGATAATTTTCTGTTGCATCGTCTTCCTTTTTTCAAAGTTCAACTTCTCTCTCTCTTTCTCTCTCTCTCTCTCCTTTAGTAATTGCAAGCCAATTGTGCAGCACTAATACAAAGCATGCTCTAAAATTCCAATTCTCTTACAAATAATCCATATACGCCATACAAATTTACCATTCACAGGTGTCAATGCTACTTTCATTTCTTCCTGTAGCATTTGAAAAACATGATTAGCTTAACTGTTGTTTGTCAGACAAAGATACACTGTTTCTGAGGACATCTTCTAGGGTATAATTTCTCGTAAAACTATGCGTGCATAATTCATTGACCAGGAAAAATAATGAAACCTGCCGTTAACAGAGAAGTGTTTGGCTAGGTCAAAATGAAGCGCCAGGCGACGGGGACGGGGAAAGTATGAGTCCAGACTTGTTATCTGATACTCCGCCTGTTCCTCCGAGGAGAAGGGACAGGAAACGCCACACACCTCCCAGACCTATCAGCAATGGACTACCGCCGACACCTAAAGTTCATATGGGGGCGTGCTTCTCAAAAGTCTGTGTGATTTAACAATCTTCATTTCATTTTCTCTTATTCTCTTTCGTAGACGTGTAGAGTTTTAAAGAGAAACACGCGTTTCACTTAGGTATTCAACGGATGTCCTCTAAGAATACACTGCACCGCGAGCTGGATCCATCCAGACACGAGGGATCAGCACTTGCTGATCGCGGCGGAAGAAGGAATTTACAACTTGAACTTGAACGAACTCCATGAAACTGCGATCGATCAGTTGTACCCGAGACGTACAATTTGGATGTATGTCATTAAGGATGTCCTGATGTCTTTGTCTGGTAAAATGAATACGTCAAACTAGTGGCAACCGTGAATTTAAGTTTACCGTGTATGTATAAACGACATTTTCAGGTAAAACTCCACAATTGTACAGACACGATTTATTAGCGATGCAAAGCAAACAGAGCCACAGGTTTTCCCTGCACATGAACAAAATACCCGAGAGATTAGTCCCTAGGAAGTTCGCTCTGACGACCAAGGTTCCAGACACGAAGGGTTGCACGAAGTGTTGCGTTGGGCGAAACCCGTACAATGGGTAAATTTCTCTGTCTTTACTGATGTTAACACATTGCGCGCCTCGATAATGCGGTATTTTCAGTCTATCGTTTAATTGCTAATCCTGCGTTCGTGTGACATTTTAGATCTGTGTAACGCAAATCTAAAGTAAAATTTTCAAAATCGAATTCCTTATTCTCTTTCGGAAGTTAGACATGTTGGTTTGATCGATGTTTAACCCTTTGAACTCTGTAGGCTCCGATATTGCACCAGTTATAATATTAAATATTTGAATGAATCTTAAAGAAACTACTCTAGAATTAGTTGCAGTTGCTGATGGATTACAGAACAGCCTGGAGTGCTAAGGGTTAACCCTTTGCGGACGGAGATTCTATAAAATATACGAAACCTTCAGCAGATGAAGCTAAATTACATATCGATCGTTTAATTACTAGAAAAAAGGGAAACTACGTGCTGATCTCTTGCTGTTCGAATAATCAAATCATCCGCGACTTAGTCTTTCAAACATGAAATTTTCATCTCGCGGACGCTCGCGTTTCTAGCAGCTGAAATTTAGCCGGCGTTCAATGTGTTAAGAAGCATTGGTCTTGTCTGATAAGAATAGATTAAAAGATCCATTGATACAGGTACAAATACCTTTGCGGTGCAATGCCAACGGGGATATTCTTAATGCAATGGTACGATCCTTTGAATAAGTTCATGCTCCTCAAGCATTTCGATTGTACGCTGCCATTGCCATTGAACGTGTTTGAGATTATCATTACGCCTGAAATGGAATATCCGATGGTGTGTGTATCCGTGAAGCAACCATATCAGCAGAACAAATTGAAACTGGACTTGATAAATATGAATTCAGGAGCAAGTTGGTTTCATAGCGACGAACTGGAAGACATGGACGGTTCAGGTACATTGTTAGCCGTCTTAACCCTCTATGGGCCGAATTTTGTTTCGTGAATGTAACAAAATTTATGCAGTATGAAATTAATAAACTTCAACATATGATCACAAATTAACAATGTATCCAATAGTTTCAATAATTTTATTGAAACGAATATATTTTGTAACTTTGAAGTTACAGTGACGTTGAACGTAAACGCCTGCGTGTACAAAAGTTTAAGTTGATTAATTATTTAATGTCGTTGGTCGTTTTGCAATAAAAAATTAAATAAGTCAATTTAACCCGGTATATTGATGTGTGACTTCAAAGTCACACGAGCCTATAGAGGGTTAACTTGTGAACTCTTTCAATGATTCTTCAGGAACGTCACTGAAATATATACTTTCAGCCACTGTAATACCAAGAAGAGAGAACCTCCACGTTATCAATGTAACGCAATTAGAGAAGAATGCAATATTAGTATGTTACGACAGTGAGTACACGAGAATAGTCTTCGCACAACTATCACATTCGAATTTAATCTAAACTACCGTGTATTTTAGATGTAGTAAAAGTGGTGACGCTGCAGGGGAAACCCAGATCAAGCAGGAAACATATGTCAGAGTTACATTTTAACTTCCAAATCGAATCCATTAGTAAGTTTATTTGCATCCAGCGATTCCACGATTGTTAATGCCACTTAGCGATAACGTGTTCTTTTGCCTTTAGTCTGCTTACCAGATAGTGTACTAGCATTCCACAAGCATGGTATGCAAGGTAGGAGTTTTAAGAATGGCGAGGTCACGCAAGAAATCAGCGACCCGAGCAGGACATATAGACTACTTGGATCTGATAAGTACGTGATTCTTCTACAAATGAATTTTGAGAAAGTCCATAGACTGTGATAGATATTTCAATTGGAATGCGTGTTTCTAATAGAGTGGTGATGCTGGAGAGCCATTTGGTTCAGTCAGGCACATTGACGGAATCCGAGGGAGCAGACTTGTACATACTTGCTGGACACGAGGCCAGTTACTAAGCCGCATCTTCCAACTGTGAACGTGCTCGCCCGGTGTGTCGCAAGTGAATTGTGATTCTCACAGACTGCGTGTAAAGTAAAACGTGACTGTACTGAGAGGCAGTGGTCGATGTTGGTAAGAGAATATTGTTAATTATTCTATTTAAAAGTGAACGTGAAATGAAAGAGGGAAATTGATTACCGACGTACGCCAGTGTACAAGTTTATTCGTCACTGTTCTCCATATAGTCAATCGCTGCATAGACTGGTTATTTATCAAGGACCTTTTTAACAAAAAGAGAGAAAAAAACAGAATTTAGAAATAGAGAGAGAGAGGGAGAGAGCGAGAGAGAGAGAGAGAGATAACCGTGAGAATGGAATATTCGAGAAGCAGGAATATATTTAAAATAATGTGTAAATTCGCCCTTATGCCTGACAAAATAAAGCTTATACCGATCGGATTTTCCTCAAACGAAGAGTAATAACGTCGCGTCACGGAAATTGATTCGAGTAGTGTTGTAAATTGGTAGACACACAAATCTTCGTTTTAACTATTCTTTGAAATTTGAATTTATCTCGTCATATAAATACATTTTAACATATATGAGAATCATACAGTACGTACGACAGTTGTAGATATACGGATACTTATATTTTTAGAATGATTTTTAGATTGTATCGTGATACGAAAAATCCTCTGCATCCTGGACACGAATCGATTGTATCAAGTCGGGAGCTTCTCGTCGGAACCCTCGGACGAGTCGCGTAAGATATTGGCCAAAGATAGTTTAAGTAGAGTAGAAACAGCAACAGAGAACAACGATTTAAATATAAATTAATCGCGTAACGGAGAATTCTTTAACGCTCGCCGGATATATTAGGATTCGATATATTTTCTTCTGCAACAAATCATTCAGGTGTACTTCACTGTTTCGTATAAGTTTTGCTTTGGTAGGCATTGGGCTGTTGCATCAAAGTTATTTTAATAAGACATTGCGTTCATCAGTGTCTCTAATTTTGGACGATTGTACTATGAAGATACAGTATACATGGCAAAGTAGTTTATGATGGCAATCATAAATTATTTATTTTAAGAAGCGTATATGTGAGATGGCTTAGCGATTATTCATTTGAACAGGATTCGTGACATTTTACGAAGTACATAGATCGACCCGTTTATGTACGACTGTAAAACATTTTCAATTACACTATTATTAGCATTGATAATCAATCCTAAAACTATTCGAATCGAAATGATACTTCTCTTGTTTCCGTGGATTTTCTTTTAAGTGAAATTATTTTTACGAAAACAGAACACTATTTTATAAATATCACGCGTCTGTACGTTCGGGAAATATTTCGTTTTCACAACCGTAGTGTGCGAATATTTATAAAGTATCTTGTTTTTCGGCGAAATAACGATGTTACGTGCATTTTACGTGATTGGTTTTTAAGACTGGGACAAATATTGATTTCTTATTCGCAAATGACTTTCTCAATACACGAACACTGTATTCAGGAGGAAGAGTGCTGGATTAAATAGAAATTAGAGCAAAACATTGTTGTGAAAATTGCTTTATGCATTTGTAATTTATGTTTCACTTATTCATTATCGAGATTACGTTAATTTTATTCGAACCGGTTGGCGCAGTATTTTACAACTCGCGAAGTTGGAGATTCTATGGTTATTTCATTGAATTAGTATTAATTAATACTATGTGATATATTCCTTAACACGACTACTATATTACGTACGTAGTGTGTTATATATAGTTTCTGTTTGTAATTAACGCCTATCTAAAAAAAAAGGAAATCTTCGATCAATATACAGAATAACAATTTCAATTGTTTACTCGTACGCTAAAGAAAATGCGTTTGTAAATAGACTTTTTATTTATCGAGAAAAAATGTCTATATTGTTCATGTAATTTAATAATACTCATTTAAAATCTTTGCGCCTCGGAAATGGGTCGCGAAGGAACTATCAAAGTGTCCAGTTTAAATACAATCTTTATCAATATAAATAGAGAAATTGATGAGTTGCATGCAGCAATTAGCATGAAATAAAAGACAAGCTAGCGCTTAAATGTTTGTTTTAGATTATAATTGTATTATGCTCTGTTACGTTAGATTTAGAGACGAACTGAAACATTTAAGTTTCTAGAATTTTAAAGAATTTATTGTTACATACACTAATTTGTAAATGAAAAAGACACTCGGTAATATCAACAGAAGATAATAGATCTCACTTTAACGATTGCTTAAACGAGAACGTAACTGTCGCACTAACGTCTAGTTACGAACAAAAGTATCAGCTCTAATAATATTTTAAAAAATATTCCATTGGTATCGATAGAATCAATAAAGTGTGCACCGTTTAATGAATGCATTTAGGTCATTAGCCGTTTTCAGTGCATTCACTTTGTACATTACTTAATGTAATGAGATTAAAGTCACATTTCACTTATTCCTGAAGCAAGACATTTAATGTTGAGAATTTTAAATAGTCAAAGAGAAGAAGAAGAAGAAGAACAAGAAGAATAATAACAAGAAGAAGAAATAATGCTTTCTGGTGTAGCTAAAAATTCCGTTAGAACGATGCAAATTTCTATTTTAATATTAGCGTCTAATATTATGTAATTCTTCATTGGGCCTTTCGAAAACTAAATATTAGATAAATATGGAATAATTAGGGATAAATATATACAGAGATCTATTAAGGATTTGTCTTGTATACAGCTTATCATGATAGATAATTATTTTATACTAATTATATTTAATTAAACTTAAACTTCTCTGTGTCCTTTTAGATGCGAATTAGTAGAGTCTAATAAGTATGGTATCTGGCACTTTTCCATCCATTGTAGATACATTGATATATTGCAAACCAATGCTATTGATTTGCAAAACGGCAAGGATGAACTGTAAATTGAGGTAGGAAAGGGATGGACAGAGTAAAATTATCTTGGAAATGTTGAGATATTTTGGTATTTTATATGAAGATTTGCTCTGTAAATAGGTAGTAGGTTACTAAAGAAAGTATTACGGCTATTAAAGGTTTACTATAATAGTCTCATATTCGACTGCTTATTATGGGAAATAATTATGTTACATTAATTACATTTGTTTCATGCGAAGGCACAGGTGGTAGAACGTACTGAATTCAATTTCTCTTTTAAAAACCTAGGGACCTTATCCAAATGTTGACTTAGAACAGAAATACCGACAAAAATACGAGTAAAATTTCCTTTTAGTGCATCATTTTTAGTACGTTTACCACTGATGTCGAGGCATCATCGTACGGCGCAATTTATTATTGCAAAGTAGGGCGTAATTGCGTTTAACAACAAGAATAATCCGCGCTAACGATATTTTCTACGAACAAATTGAATTGTGTTCAGACTATGTCCAAGATAGATCATTTTGCTACTTTGAATATCACTCTTGTCTTTCATACTTGATTTAGACCAGTCGAATACGCTTGATTTCTTCGAGTACTCCATTCCAAATGTATTAAGTCTATTGAATTTTATATTAAAATTCATGCACCCGTAATGAAGCTGAAACGTGCACGCACAAAACGAATAAATAGGTTCGAGGACGATTTTTCATTCAGACTAAAACGATTATACTCTGCGTAACGAGACGCTGTTATACATTTTGACGTGGCATTAAAGACAAGAGAGATGTTTCAGGGAATACGATTAAGCAGGTCCATGTTGCAGTATAATTACATGTATTCGCGCCAACAGTTAGTATGCAATTACAATCAGTGCTTAAGCAATCAAACATTAAATGAAATGTTTAATCAAATTGTACAACTCGGTTGAAAGGTCTGTGCTAGATTGTTCGTACGAATTGGTAGGT